TTTCCTATCCCAGAATCCCAGAACCCCCCCTTTCTCTGGGCTTTTTAAATCAGAGGATCCAGTCTTTCATCAAATTCTTAAAGACATCCAAGCTGGGTGTGGTGGTGCATACCTATAATCCCAGCACTTGGGAGACAGAGGCAAAAGGATCCTTGGGAGTTCAAGACCAGCCTGGGCTACAAAGTGAGTTTAAGGTCAGCCTGAACTGCACAGGGAGACCCTGTCTCAAACAAAGGAAAAAGGATTTTTAAAAAGATATTCAAGACCTATAAACTAGTAGGAAACTTTCTCTTTTCATTAACTTTCAGAGTTAGTCTGATAATGAAGATAAAATTAGGGGAGATGGACTAGCACTTGGCACTCTTAGTTTTACGTTTTGGGTGTGTGTGCAGGTAGAATTGGATTTAATGTGAAAGGAATAAATCACTTTGGGCATAGTTACAGGTTGGTTACCACTTCTTTCCCAGTGTTCTGGCAAAAGAGGAAGGCCCTAACAGGGTTAGGCCACAATAAAATAAATACAACCTCTGAGTGCTAGGATTACAGGCATGTGCCCCTACACCCATGTGTCCTCTTTTTATTAAGTCCTCTTTTTATTTTTATTTATTTATTTTTGGCGAAACCATGAACTCAGACCCTTGTGCTTATACTACTGAGCTATCTCCCCAGCCCCATAAGTCCTCTACTTAAAACTTTTTTTTTTTTAATCATGAGACTTTCGTGCCTTAGTTTCTAACTTGCGGTCTTTGTGCCTCAGTAGCTGACATTGTAGATATGTGCCACCTTATGTGTCTGTGCTTTGTTTCTTTTTTTTTTTTTTTTTTTTTTTTTTTTTTTTGCGGAACTGGGGATTGAACTCAGGTCCTTACACTTGCCAGGAAAGTGCTTATTCCCATCTCCCGGGCCCTTGTGCTTTGTTTCTTGAGATGGGGTTTTGGTATGTAGTTCAGGCTGGCCTTGAAATCACTGTATAATCCAGTTGATTGACTTGGAACTCAGCACCTCAGTCTCCAGAGCACAGAGATTATAGTCATATTTCACTGCTCCAGGCTTTATTTTTATTTTGTTTTTGGTTTGAGACAGGATTTTGCTATGGAGTTGTAGTGGGCCTTGAACTTCCTAGGTAGTGTACTAGTTAGTGATTTTTTTGTCTCAGTCTGCAAATTACAGGTGTATGCCACCTGCCCTATTGCTCTATTAACTGAAATATTTCTGGAGAAATTTATAAGTAGTAATGCTCATTGAATATTCTTTGTTTTATAATGAGAGGACTAGTGAGGTAGCTCAGAGGTAGAGTGATTGCCTAGCATATGAGTGGACCTGGATTTGATGTCCAGTACCACGAAAAACAAACAAATAACAAAATTTAAAAACGAGGAGAAAAATCAGCCCTAAATAATTGTAAACATACATTTCTAAATATGGTATATCTGAACTTGTTGAGCTTTATAAACATTTAAAATAAGTTGATAGGGCTGGTGAGATGGCTCAGTGGTCTAAAGCACCTACTTAGAACAAGTTTAGCAAAGCACAGGGACCCTGGTTCAATCCCCCAGCACCACATGCCAGCCAGCCCCGCCCCCTGGTGGGCTGAGCTGGTCACACACACACACACACATACACACACACACACATAAATAATTAAATAAATTTAAAAATAAAATAAGTTGATAAACCTTTGATATCTTCAAAGAATCGATTATACCTATTATTTTGCAGTCTTAAGGCACCTTGTCTCTTTTCCTCTCAGAAGACCTGACAGATTGTTTGGGGGTGGGGAGAGTATGTGTGGTGCTGGGGATCAAATAGGGTTACACACATGCCAGGCAAACACCCTACCAGTGATCTGTACTGAGTCTTTGACAGGTTTCTTAACCTTGATGTATTCATTTTACTCTATATTTAATGTACAACAAAGATTATAAACATTATGTGATATAGGCCTGTTATTACTTTACTATATAAAAACATCATAAGCAATTATAAAATTGGAAATTTTATCTTAATTTGCAGGTAGCTCTGTAAGCAACTTGGACTTAATTGTGTGAGTTGAACATGACAGAGGTAAATCCTTTGGGCAAAGGAGGAAGCAATGAGGAGGGAAAACCCACAGTTTAGGATAAAGTTTGAGAAGAATGAAGATTAATCCAGATCAGTTCTGAGCGAGGTGTGGTAGCACATAGCCATAATCCCAGCACCCAGATGGCTGAGGCAAAAGGATCCTTTGAGTTGAAGACCAGCCTAGGTTACAAAGTGAGCTCAAGGTCAGCCTGAACTGTGTAGCGAGACCCTGTCTCCAAAAGACCAAAATATAAAAAGGAAAAATAAAGATAAGCAGTTCTGATGAATACACTAACATGACTAGGTTTAAATACTAGCTTTGCTACTATATATAATACATATATGTCTTACTAGAGTACCTGGCACATGGTAATATTTTGATGAATGATAATCCTTGCTATTCTGATGGACTTCTGTGAAGGTTTTGTGGAGTTTTTCCCCAGATTTTTGTAAATCTCTTAGTATATACTAATCAGAGATTTATTGGAGTTTAGTGCATGCTTCTCCATTAGTTTATCTTGTTTTTTTTTTAATTAATTTATTTAGTGTGTGTGTGGCCAGTTCAGCCCACCAGGGGCGGGGCTGGCTGGCATGTGGTGCTGGAGGATTGAACCGCGGTTCCTGTGCTTCTGTTTAGCTTAGCTTGTTCTAAGTAGGTGCTTTAGACCACTGAGCCATCTCACCAGCCCCTCCATTAGTTTATCTTGGTACAACATACTTAATGATTATTACTTGTGAGTTGGGTAAAGTTCTTAAGTGTAGCAATAGTCTTAACTCTGTGTCCCCTGTGCTAGTTATACTTAGTATCTTGCCTTTTGAGAAAAAAGTCCTTGGTATCTTTGTAACTGAAATAATAAATAATAGATGATATTCAGTCTTGAGTTCTTCTCTTGGCAGTAAGCTGATAAATTTCCAGTGTGGGTTATATGAGCTTCATCTTCTCCTGTGGTATCACCTTTACTTATTTATTTTTTAACTGCTGATACAGATACATCTTAATATTTGGTTTTTGTGATACTTAATCACAATTACAAGGAAATTTAGAAGTTAAAATTATAACGTAAGTAGGTAAACACCAGAAATTAAGCAAATATATATACATCTTTGGAATAGCAATCCTAAAATAATTTTTATATTATATAACAACAAAGACATATATTTCATTATTTTACAGATTTAAAATTCTGAGTTTGGGGGCCAACGAGATGGCTCAGTGGAACAAGTGCTTCCCTGGCAAGCGCAAGGGCCTGAGTTCAATCCTTGGTTCTGCCAAGAAATAAATAAAGTAAAATAAATAAATAAATTCTCAGTTTATTTACCTTGTTGAAGAAGTTACCTTTGTTTGATTTTTTGAGACAGGGTCTCAAAACTATGCAGTTCAGGCTGGCCTTGAGCTCACTTGGTAGCTGAGGCTGGTCTGAAAGATTCTCCTGCCTCAGCCTCCCGAGTGCTGGGATTATAGGTGTGTACCACCATGCCCGGCTGAAGCAGCTATCTCCTAACATCCACATCATTCCAGCATTGTCTTCCTATTGTCTTTTTCTTCTACCATTTAGTTATTTTGTCCTTTTTCAGTTTGCTTCATATTAAAGGATAAATTTATTTGCAAAATTAGTGGAATGTGGTTTGGAACCAGTGGTGGCTCTTATTTTATCTTAAACCCAGAGCCTAATCTTATCTGAACTCAAATACCTGACTCAGAGAGGAGCTGGGTGGTATTGTGGAAGACATCAGGCATCTTATCTCTAGCAATCTTCACTCCACAGATTTCTTAGCTTTTAGTATAATCTGTTGTGTGTATTAGTTGCAAATTTCCATTGTGAATACATACCTTGGCAAAATATTAGGCATTTAATGGTATTTTAGTCTTCTGATAACAAACATGATTAATCTAAACTTTGTAATGCAGTGAGGATTTATTCCTGGTTTCAGAGGCATACACAGGAAACCTTAAGTTCAAAGGTAGTGAATAACAAGAGAACATTGCTGGTGATGACGTAGGTAGCCTCCCATAGTGTGCTCATTTGGCTCAGGTACTCTAAGAATAAGAATTCTCAGACTTACACAGCATAAGAGAGATATTGCCTGGATACCATACTTGCAGAAGAAAAATGTAATCAAGAGTAGAGTTTTGTATCTTAACAGTGAAATAATATAAGACGCATTCCAGGGGCTGGGGAGATGGCTCAGTGGAATAAGCGCTTCCCTGGCAAGTGCAAGGGTCTGAGTTCAATCCCTGGTTCTGCCAAAAAAAAAAAGCATTCCAAATGTGCCCATTGTCTTAACCAAACAGCAGACATTTCTGTTATTTCCTCAGTATCTCTTTATTTTCTTTTTTGGAGGAAGATAAAACTTAACGTTAAAACTTTCAGCTTAGCATGCATCAGGTCCTGGGTTTGCTCCCCAGCACCACTGAAAATCTTTCTCCCCAAAGATGAAAACTTTCCTCCAAAGATAAGTACTGAGAGGACTTTAGAAGAGAATGAATTTATACTCTGTAAGAACATTATTATGAGAATGAAATGTAGGAATGAAAAACTAGAGATTCGGGGCAAAATCTCAGATCAACCTTTTTCTTATAAGTGATTCCTGTTGAAGAGACAGTCCTTTCACCACCACATTCAACATTCACTTTTCTTCTTCTGTCTGTTCCGTTAATAAGAAATATTATGCAGTATTGATAGATGGTGATAAGTTGACATTTGTGTTAAGTTCTTTGAAGGACTACTTCAGGATCAGCCTTTGTGTCTACGGCCATACCACCCAGAATGTGTCCGATCTCATCTGATCTCAGAAGCTAAGCAGGGTTGGGCCCGGTAAGTACTTGGATGGGAGGGTCAGCCTTTGTGCTGTAGGAATCCAAGTAGTCAAAACTACTAAAATAGCAAGTTAACATCCTGGAATATTCTGCTTACTTTTTGTCAGCCACTTTTCTGCATCAGTTCTTTCAATATCTTCCTTGATGAATCCTTGGCAGTTAACTCTTTCCAAGAAACTGGCAGCTAAAATGTTAGGCTCTAGTAGCACCCTGTCCTGCCACCCGCTCAGTATTTTTACTATGCCTTCCCTAAGTGTTAGTTCCCTTTTTTTTCCAGCCCAGATATAGGCATTCTTAGAAGCTAACGTTGGGAAAATACTGAATTTCTCTTTCAGCCTCCCAGGAGGGAATGCTTATGGCATAGACTTGCACACCCATTATGAAATAATGGCAATCTATGATCTTTTTGATACTTTAAGATCTAGAAACTTCAAAAGTACCAGGTTTACATCCTCTAAAATGAAAGAAATGGAGGAATCTTCAAGTTTGGTAGAATACTAAACTCACATTATTCCTAAAAAACTGATGTAATCTCCCTTTCATATTCAGTCTTCAATTCTGGTTTCACATGTTCCCAGGAAAAAGTAATTATGGTATGTTACATAATCTTTTAATACCCCTAGATCTTATTCTCTCTAGAGGACTTCATTCTAAGGACATTGCTAAGTGACACCTACTAAATATTTCCTTCCAGATATATCTAGCTCAGAAATCCTTAGAGGCATCTGATTTGAGGGGAAATTCCATAATTGCTCTAGTAAACATTTCTTGTATTGGTTAGCAATTTTCTCTGAGTGTCAAGATGGAAAGCTTTTCATAGACCTTTGTCATACAATTTATAGTTTTTATTTTAGGGTTCAATGTAAGTCAAGATACTGATAGTTGATAGAAGAGGAGAAGCTCAAATCATTCTTTTCCATCTGCCACTACTTCAGCTTCTCTTGAAATTTATTTCCAAGCTTTGCAATAGATGAAGTCAAATCAGAAAAAAAAAAAAAAAGACATTTTCTTCCCAGGAGTTCCTTAGAGGCGGTTATCTCAGTATATGGTACAAACAAGTATAAGGCCGTGGATTCTGTTTGACTCTGAATAATCACAATAATTCAGTGGTCTGCAGAAATGCATAGAAAATTTAGGAGCAATGCCCATTTTTACTTGATCATGGTGAATTGAAGCACTGATACAAAACATCCTAGGGGAGAAGTTTTAGGTGTATTTACTCCCTTTCCCCAGTCTTCTCACCTCCTGTTCAACAAATAGATTTGCACTCCTGCTTCCCCACTCCAGTCCAGAGGCTCAATGAGATCCCTTTTTAGAAATGATCAGCTTACATCCTTTTGCTTGTTTGGTGTAGTATAAGGAAAGCGCTCATCTGAATCTGTTCCATGGGATATTCACTGCTGCTTAAATGACCTTTTCTCGTCTCTCAAGGAGTCTGTGTGGCTGGTGGCAGAGTTCCAATGGCTGGAAGAGTCCTAAGATCCTGACTCCTAAAAAAGCACAAGAGTCAGGTCCACTCTAATTCAGACAGTTTGGAAGGCTCTGCTCTGGCTGGGGATTGTGCTGGGTGTGGTTTCTGCTTTGGTCAGAGTAGCATGGTGGACTTTCTTTGGTTCAGAACATCTCACCTCTGGTTCCACAAGGCTATATGCCTGGCTCGCCAGCCCTGGCTGGGGTGCTGCTTCAGTTGACATTGTCCGCTGGCTGCGTGAGGCACTGTTTGCTGTGGAGCGGGTGGAGGAAGAGCCAGAGCGTGAGCTCCGAGAGCCTGAGGAAGAGGAGCTGGGCTTCATAAGGCGGGCCTTCGGTGCTTCAGCATCTTCTCTAAAGAGAAAAGTAGCAAAGATATACTTTAGTACTAGTGGGATGTCATTGCCTTTGCTATGCTTCCTTCATTCTGAAGTTTCCCCCAAATTCCTCAAACTTATAAATCTCAAATATACCATCAGAAGGCAGTCATTTATGAAACTAAGCACATCCTTAATTCTTGAGAATTGATGGTTGGCTTAGGTAACTGTTTGGTTTGTTAGCACAGAAGTCCATCCTGCTACACTGGGAGGATGCATCTCAGCATGAATGATACACTTGCCTTAACTTAGGGTTTGTATACATAAACCCTTGCATAGTCTATAGGCATACTCATTCTTTATTGCATACCTTTTCAAGTGGAAGTGAATCAGAAGTAACACAAAATTGAACTTTTAAAAGACTGTTAAGGATAGTTTTGCAGTGAAGTCCCAGTAAACCAGCCCTGTGTTCCTAGGCTACAACTTCCTGTCTACTAGAATTTATGTTCAGAGGAAACTGAAGATACTTCTATTTATTTGTTACTATGGAACCAGTTCTAGAAAGGGAGCTCATTAGTGGGGATTTGGGGCTTACCGAATTTCATTAGGTCTCTCTTCTTCCTCATATCTTTTTTTGTCTTTCCTTCGGATTATCAGCCACACCAAGAGGAATATCAGCAGGGCTCCAGCCACTATGCCTGTCACTGCTCCTGCAACCATGCCGATGCTTTGTACATCTGTTTTCTCAGAAACAGAAGCACAAATGAACAGACGCTAGAATGATTATCTCTAGATCTCTTTTCCAGAGTAGCACCCCATTACTATTACTCTTTTTATTTTTTATTTATTTTTTGGTGGAACTGGGGATTGAACTCTGGCCCTTGCACTTGCCAGGTAAGTGCTTATTCTACTGAGCTATCTCCCCGGCCCCTATTAATCTCTTTTGACTGTCCCTTTTTTTTTTTTTTTTTAAATGTATTTAGTACAGGATCTGTAGGGTCTGACTGCACAGATTGAACATAGTGATCCTTCCTGTTTTTCAGCCTCTCAAATGCTGGGATTATAGGCATGTGCCATCATGCTGTCTCATGTGCCATCTCAGTGTGCCGCAGGGGCAGGGCCAGCACAGTAGGTCAAAGCCCAGGTCCCTGTGTCTCCTAAGCAGGTACTTTAATCTGCTGAGCTATCTGGCCAGCCCTGACTATCCCTTTTTATATTTTTGCAGTTGTAGTTATTGAGCCACAGACCTCATTAGTAATTTGTCAACATTTTAGTAAGACGAATTCATTGAGATGATAAAATTAGTGTATCTTTTATCTTTTTTTTCCGTCTTTTTCACAGGTTCTCACTATGCAGTTCAAGCTGGTCTTGAGCTCACTTTGTAGTCCAGGCTGGTATCAAACTCACTATAGCCCTCCTTCCTCAGTCTCCTGAGTGCTGGGATAACAGGCATGTGCCAACTCGACAGTCTGGCACTAGTGTATCATGTTTGAAAACTTATGCCTTAACAAGACATTTAGGTAATCCTTTGACTCTGCAAACTCCCCAGCTTTTTCTTATTTCCTCTTCTGCCTCTGTGTGTGTGTGTGTGGGGGGGGGGAACCATACTTACAGTGTTACCTCTGAGGGTCTTAACATTGTTACCTGTGGTTCCTCTAAATTGCGGTCAAGGTAAATGTAATTTGCATATTAGTAACGCTCATTTGCATGTGTTTATTAGGTAGTTAAAAGAAGCTAGGCATGCTCAGTTCTGGTCAAATCCATTTAGGACCAATTTTAACATTGTGATTGCTTCCTCTTTAAGTAATGAAGTAGTCTTGTGTACTTTTGTGATACTAGAAATTAAACCCTGGAACTCATGCATGCTAGGCAAGCATTTATTTGTTTTTTGTTTGTTTGTTTTTTGTTTTTTGTTTTTGCGGAACCGGCATTTATTTGTTTTGTCTTTTTGAGACAGGGTTTCCCTGTTAGTTCAGACTGGCCTTGAGCTCACTTTGTAGCCTAAGCTGGTCTCAAACTCTCAGTAATCCTCCTGCCTCAGCCTCCCAAGTGCTAGGATTACAAGCCTGTGCCACCATGCCTGGCAAGCACTTACTTTTTTAAAGTTTTTTTGGTGATGATGGGGGATCAAAATGAGGTACTGTGCCATGAGTCATATTCTTGGCCTCAAAGTTGTTTTTTTTTTTTTTTTTTTTTGGCTGGCTTAGCTCACCCTCGGGGCAGGGCTGGCGTGACATATGGTGCCAGAGATTGAACCGCAGTCCCTATGCACTTGCCTAAGCAGGCACTTTAGACCACTGATCTATCTCTCTGGTCCAAAGTACAAGTCCTTCTGAGGCTGTTTAGTTGCCATGTTTGCCAGAAGAGTCAGACAGTTATTGAGCAGTCCCCCTGCAACTGCTGAATTTATTTTGGTAATAAGCCTTTCGTTTTGTTTTGTTTTGTTTTGTTTTTGGCGGAACCTGGGATTGAACTAAGGCCCTTGTGCTTGCCAGGCAAGCAAAACATTTAGCAGAGGAGATGCAAATGTGTACAGAACACAGGAAGTGTTTATATTATATTATATTATATTATATTATATTATTGGTAGTACCAGGGATTGAACTCAGGCCCTTGTGCTTGCCAGGCAAGTGCTTATTCTACTGAGCTATCTCCCCAGCCCTAAGCCTTTCATTTTGGCTTTGACTTGACTTTTGCTTATGATTAAAACCTCTTACACTAAGCTACAACACAAAAGCAAAACCAAATACTGAAACAGAAAATTCCTCTGGATACTTACACTGCACGGTCACTCGCACCACACAGCTTTCTTTCCCAGCCTCATTGCCTGCGGTGCACTGATAGAGCCCAGAAGAGGACATGGTAAGATTCTGCAGCAGAACTCGGCCAGGATTGTTGAAGTCTATACACAGAATGATAGCAAGTCCCCTTAGTAGCAGTTGCTTTTTTTTGCAAACCCAGGGATTGAACTCAGGCCCTTGCGGTTGCCAGGGAAGTGCTTATTCCACTAAGCCATCTCCCCTGCCCCAACAGTTTATTTTTTATTTATTTTATTTTTTGGCAGAACCGGGGATTAAACTCAGGCCCTTGCGCTTGCCAGGGAAGTGCTTATTCTACTGAGCCATCTCCCCTGCCCAGTAGCAGTTTATTGTACTGTATCATTTACCTAAGATTGTGTAATACAGTCTCATAAGAATGAGGTGATAGGACATGAAAAAGCAGGTGAATATTTATTTTATTTTTCTGCATTATTTGGTACAGGGTCTCGCTTTGCAGCTCCGACTTCATAGTGATCTTCCGGTCTTAGCCTGCCCAGCCTGAGGATTACAGGTGTGCGCCACCAGGCCCAGGGCTGGGGTTAGCCCGGCATGTGTACTCCAGTCCCTGAGCTTGCTTAAGCAGGCGCTTAGGCCACTGAGCTATCTTGCAAGCCTCGTAAATATTTTTTGAACTGTAATACTTCCTCAAAAGTTACAAAAGGTTGTGAACATTTGAGGGGTAGTAAACAAAATAGATATTGTGGAGTTGTGTAGTATAATCTCTTTTTAATACCTCCAAACGCCATTTGAACAAAGAAATTTTTTTCTATGCTAGTTTACAGATGGAAGAAAAAAAGAGCGTGAGAGATTCTGCGCGGTATATGCAAGGTTATGTAGGAATTTTCTGACCATGTAGATGTATGATGCATGGATACAGTGGCATTTGGTGGCCCAGTGTAATGGTGGGCTGAGGACTCACCAATCGTGGCTTTGGGAGGCAGATGCTCATCCTCTCCCTCCTTCTCTCGAATTCGCTGCCAGTAATACACAATAGGCTTTGTGCCCGAGGATGACTCACACTGCAGAGTCAGATCGCTTCCCTCGGTCAGCTCTCCTTCTAGCTCACACTTGGGCTTGGATGGTCTCACTGGGGAGAGAAAAATAATAACTCAGAGCTTCTCCCGATAGCAGATTCAGGACCAGGGAGATAACTCAGCAGCATAAACGCCTGCCTGGCAAGCACAGGGTCCCAGGTTCTATCCCTGGTACCACATACATACACACACACATACATACACGCACACACACCCCTACCCCCCCCACACACACACAGATAATGGCAAATACTGGAGTCATTGCAGAAACAGTCCTCTTGAGCTGTTTCTCTAGCTCCTTCATATGGTTGCCTTCGGAGTTGGGACACAGCTAGCCATGCTTTCCCCCCAGATGTCACCCCATCCTGTTCTTTACACCATATACAGTTCTAGCTGCCACCAGCGGTCCTAGTATAATTTTCAGCAGTTGCCCTAGAAGCTCCCAAAGTACTTTTCAGTGTGGGAATAATCTCAAAGAAGAAGTGCTCTTATTTATTGGAAAGTTAAACATGCTTCTACTAATAGTGAAATACTGGTAATATATATGAACTTGAAAGTAAGTATAACTTGGGAATTTTTGCTGTCTAAACCAAAATTAAAAACAAATGGGAGCCAGATGTGGTGCACAACTGCAGCCTCAGCACCCTGGGAGGCTGAAGCAGGAGGACTGCACGTTCAGGCCCTGCCTGGAGAGCGTGGTAAGATCTGGTCTCAAAACTTGAAAAATGTAAAAAGGACTGGGGATATAGCTCAGTATGAAGGTTTTGGGTTTAATTCCTAGAACCTCTGAAAAAGAAAGATGGGAGGGGTAGTGGTGGCTGGGGATGTATGAGAAGTCCCAGGTTCAGTCCCTAGCACTAAAGAAAATAAGGAATTTGACTCATGCTTGAGAAACTTAAGCGAGAACGTAGTTCACTGGCAAAGTGTTTGCCTAGCGTGCATAAGGCCCTGGCTCCATTCCCTGCACCACCACCATGCACAAGAATAATATAATGAAGTACAAGGTACCATGCAAATATTAGAGGTTATTGAAATTTGTGATGGACTATTATGGAAAATTGTGATTATATTTTCTTTTTTCATTATGGCTAATACATAGAACATAAACGCTCCTTTGCAGGGAACTGGCGGCCTCTAATACAAAGTACTTGACACGAAGTTTTATAGCACCATGATGCACTTGCCAGTCCCTCCATAGATACCTTACAGGGATGCAGATTTTGCCTTGGACCCTGCCTTACCCAAGACTTTTAAGATGACGTAACTCCACATGTAGCGCCCTGAGTTCTTCACCTTGCACGTGTACCGGCCCTCATCACTGGGCTTCAGAGGCTCAATCTGCAGGGAGGCATCTCCTGCCAGGAAGTTGGAAGCAAAAGCCACTCGGCCCTTTTGTTCCTCAGAGAAATTACTGTAGACACGACGACTGGAGTAAGTGATCACCTGTAGGACAGACCAAGGCAGGATCAGCATCACTCCCAGCCTTCTTTCTCTGCTGATGTTACTAAGAGGAGGAAAGGGAATATTTGCAGTGGCTCCAAGTAGTCAGGCTTGGAACCAAGAGACCTCTGTTCTAAACAAATAAAAGCGCAAACATTTCTCCTTCCAAGAATAGTACCTTATACTGTGTAGCATTTATTTAAAAAGTACTAATTATTTCATTGGATGCTTAGCAACACTTCATTTTATGAGTTAGGAATATGAATTACGGTGTTGTATGAAAGGAGAGAAAGTTAGGAATGTGAATTACATCCTGAAGACCACACATTCTAAGTTAAGGAAAGTTTGCAAATGTAAGACTGTAAATATACTAAGCATAGACTATTTCTGAAAGGGTACACAATGACTGGTGTGAAGCACCATGGAGCTACTTACCAGCCTCCCCCACCTTTTAAAAAATTTTTGAGACAGCCTTGCTAAACTTCCCTGACTGGTCTCAAACTTGTTTTATTTATTTTTATTTTTATTTTTATTTTTTTTTTTTTTTAATTTGTGTTACTCCTGTCTGAGCCTGCTGAGAAGCTAGAACTATAGACATCCACCCTGCCTGGCTTGCTTCATCTTCTACATTTTCTACCACTTACGTGGGGTTTCTTTAAAATACATTATACTCCTAATGACAGGTGTTTTTAGATGCTGTCTAGTTCTTTTCTCACTCCAGTTTTCCAAGTAGCTTTGTTTCCCTAAGTAGTTTATGTTTTAGTTTCTTTCTTTCTTTCTTTGTTTCTTTCTTTCTTTTTTTTTTCTTTTGGCAGAACTGGGGATTGAACTCAGGCCTTTGCACTTGCCAGACAAGTGCTTATTCTACTGAGCTATCGCCCCAGCCCCTTGTTTTAGTTTCTTTACTGGTTACTGAGACAAAATAACAGGAACACCCAGAGTTAAAGAAAGAAAGATTTAGGCTGGACGTGGTGGTGCATGCATATAATTCAAGCACTTGGGAGGCTCAGGCAGGAGGATCACTGAGGTGTTTTTTTTGTTTTTGTTTTTGTTGTTTTTTGGTGGTACCAGGGATCAAACTCGGGACCTTTGCGCTTGTCAGGCAAGCACTTATTCCACTGAGCTATCTCCCCTACCCAGGATCACTGAGTTTGAGGCCAGGCTGGGCTATAAAGTAAATTCACGGATGCCAGCCTGACCTCCCTAGTGAAACCCTGTCTCAAAAAGGAAAAGGTTTTGTTAACTTGCGGTTTGTACAGGCTTCTGTCTATAATCAGTTGGCTCCAATGCAGGGTGGCTTGGCAGAGAAAAACAGTTCATGGCAGGAAGAATAAAGCAAAAGTGGCCAGGGAGATGGCTCAGTAGAATAAGCAAGCACCTGCCTGGCAAGCGCAGGGTCCTGAGTTCAATCCCCATTCCGCTAAAACAAAACCAAAACCTTTCTTTCCCTTGTGTTGTATCTTGTCTACTAGGATTCGGGCGGTGCCAGTGCAATCAGTGGATTGATTTAGTAACCACCCACCATGAATCAACCACACATTCGCCTCAGCCGCCTCTGATCAAAGCCCCAGCTATGACTCCATGAGGCTTTGAGGGAACGTGCAGACCAAGCCCATAGCAGTTCTCCCCATGTCATAGGACTCATTTGAACAGAATCCTAAACACATTGAAGTCACTGTTCTTATGTGCCACAGTTACCTCTGTCTCGCTTTTACCTCTTGCAATCATTTAACTGCTCATTGACTTTTCTTCCAGGAAGTTTAGAAATGGAGAAGAAAAAGTGAAACTAAAAAATCAATCTTTCATTCTTACAAAACTTTTTTTTTTTTTTTTTTTTTTGCGGAACCGGAGATTGAACTCAGGCCCTTGAGCTTGCCAGGCAAGCACTTATTCTACTGAGCCATCTCCCCAGCATTCTTATAAAACTTGGGAAGCTGGGTGAAGGGAATGGAGAAGTTAAGAAGTAAAAGTTAATGGTTAGAATGCAGATGGGATACTTAGGGTTTCATTGTTTGCTTTTCCTTTTTTTAAAAAAAATTTTTGTTTTTGTTTTACTGCAGATTAGTAATAATAATTTAGGTGGGATAAATTAAATTTCTTCCTTTCATAAAATATAAATACATGTGCTAATGTCATTGTTCTCCCAGTTATGGAGACCAAAGTTTAGACTTCCTCAATAGAAAAAAACAAATTTTATTTTTGCTTGCTTGCATGACAGTATCTCATTCTTTAACCTTTCCCTGGATTCTCTTAGTCTATCACTTGTGTTAGTCACAAAATACCGTGCTGATCTGGGCTTCCAAAACTTCCCTCATATAACTTTTAGCTTTATTTTCCCTGTGATTCAGCAGTCATATTATTAAACTCATTTGATTTAAACATCAGTAAACATGGAATAAATGCTTCCTGATAGAAACCATTCAGATGAGTAAGTCTCTTTTCTTGTCTTCAAATAATTTATAAGCTGTTAGGATTACCAGAAGAGAAATATAAACAGAAAAAAAGAATGATTTATATGAAACAGTGCAGGGGGAGTTTCTCAGAAAAGTTGGTGGTATCTGCATCCGGCTTTGAACAATGAGGCAAGTAAGAGAGAAGGAGAAGCACGAAGAAAAAGGCTGTAAAGAACATTCCAGATGGATAGAGCAGTACTCACAAGGCAGATAAGCATATAGGAATCTCATGAGCACAGTTTTGGCTATAGCTCTTATCCTTTGTTTTCTTCTAAACCTGAGCAAATCTTTTCTCCTTAAAAGATTTAAGGCCATCCAATAAAATGTCTATTAGTTCTGTCCATTACATCAAAATTCTTCAGTATCATCACCAATTTTACTTTACCACCTTTCTAAGAAAAATGTTCTCTCAGCCAGGCACAGGGGTGCACACCTAGAAGGCGGAGACAGGAGGGTTCCAGGTTCAGGCTTGATCTGGGCAATTTAATGACTTGGCAAAAGCCTGTCTCAAAAGTCAAAAAAAAAATTAGCGATCCTGCTCAGTGTGAAGGGCTTGAGTTCAGTCCCCAACAACAATAATGAAAGTTTTTACCTTTCTCTTAATATTTTTCTTCAACAGATATTTACTGAACTGCTACGGCAGGTACTATGCTCATCACTGAGAGAACAGGATAAAAGCCTCACACTATGAGTTCACAGGCTGAAGAGCTCAAGTCTTGCAAGGAGAGGAGAAATGGAAAAAGAACATTAAGCGCTGTAACTGAACAAAAACATTCATTCAGTGTTGCCCTCCTGTTTTAAATACCATCATGGCTGTGACATTTTTTTTAAACGTATTTGCTATAAGGTCTCACTATAAAGGTCAGACTCTTAGTGATCCTCCTGTTTTAAACCTCTGCAGTGCTGGGATTACATGTGTGTGCTACCACACTTGTCTAGTCTTCGTGGCCAGCTCTGTGTCAGGGTTCAAACCCTGGTTCCTGCGCTTACCTTAGCAGGTGCTTAGTCCACTGAGCTATCTCGCCAGCCTTTGCTGTGACAATTCTTATAGCCTATTTCTATCCCCATCATATGTCTGAGCTCATTATCATACCCTACCTTTTTTTAAATTTTTGAGATAGGGCATTTCTTTGTTGCCCAGGCTGGCCTTGAACCTTTGACCTCAAGAGAGCCTCTGGCTCAGCCTCCTTATTGCTAGAATTTTAGGTATATTCCACTGTCCACAGTACGAGCTTCAGTTTCATATCTCAAGTTGCCTGGATATTATATATTTATATCTACTCCAATTTATTCTACAACAGTACTGCCAAGTTAATCTTGTTAATATAAAGCACACAACTCTTTTCTAACTCAAAAATGCTACTGGGCACCTAACACCTCTGAGTGATTAGGTAGCTCAGACAAGGGTCTTTAAAATGACCTCTGTATTACTGTCGCACTCCTTCCCTCCACTGGCCCTTCATGTACCCGGGTGCAGTCAGTCTGACTACATTTTCCTGTTAGCCTGAGCTGTGCTTTCTGTTTGCCCCTAGGCCCTTGTTCACTGCATTTCCCCACTTAGAACCTCCCCTACTTCTTCCTACAGAAATCCTGTTTTTTTTTTTAATGTATTGCAGGTGCTTGTTCTTCTGAAGTATCTCTGGCCCTATTCATTCTTTTAAGTCCAAAGTCAATGTTAACTTCTCATGAAACCTTTCCTTATATATATGACTCTCAGACTGAGACTGAGTTTTGTCCATTGCTTTTCTTTGCAGCATTTCTTTTTTTCTATGAAACTGAACTCAGGCCCTTGTGTTTGCCAGGGAAGTGCTTATTCCTCTGAGCCATCTCCCCAGCCCTGCAGCATTTCTTTTGCAGAAGTGAAGGAGGATACTGCTGATGGAACCCAGGACCCTTCCATGCTAAGCACAAACTCCACTGGCCACACTGCCAGCCTCTGCACCACTTTTATTTGAAGACAACTTACGAAAGACTTCTGGGGAAATGGGTTTCTGGGTATGTTTTCTGTATTGCAGGGCTCTATGAAAGAATTCTTTTTTTTTTTTTTGCAGAACCAAAGATTGAACTCAGGCCCTTATACTTGCCAGGGAAGTACTTATTCCACTGAGCCATCTCTCCCCCCCCCGGCCCTTATACTTGCCAGGGAAGTACTTATTCCACCAAGGCACCTTTCCCCCCCCCCCTTTTTTTTTTTGTGGTACTGGAAATTAAACTCAGGCCCTCGCACTTGCCATACCAGGGAATTCTTAAGAGTTAACCTTTTTTTTTTTTTTTTTTTGGAGATAGGGTCTCACTATGCAGTTCAGTGAAGCCTTGAGCTCACTTTGAAGCCCAGGCTGGTCTTGAACTTGCAACAATCCTGCTTCAACCTCCTGAGTGCTGAGAGTTAACTGATTTTATGTACATTTGTTGTTTTTGTCTCTGACTAGGCTATTTTATGATAGTATTCAATAAACATTTATTAGGGTGGGCAAGATAGCTCAGGGGACCAAGTGCTTCCTTAGGTTAGCGCAGGGGTGGGGGTTCAATCCCTAGCACCACATGCCATGC